CATTTCAACATCACATTCCTCTCCGAGAATCCACTGTTCAAGTTCATCTTCTTGAGCTTCTATGTGTTGGTGTATGTCTGCAGAGTCCCAGTCATCTTCCCCATCATTCCCTAGCTCTTCTCCGCGGCAAGAGACTTGCAAATGAGGTCGTCTCCTTGCTAAAGCATCTACAATATCTCTGTTCACACTTCCTGTGATTCCTAACCATTTAAGCCTCGGGAAGAACGGTTTCTTTAGCCACTTGAATGAGAGTTGAGTTATGCCACCACAGTCATAGAGATCCAACAAACACAAGCTACTTCCAGGGCATTCGTCTTCGTAAACCCTTGTAGATGCAAGAGCCATGACCGAGGGATCACCTATGAGTCTGCACTCTCTTAGTTGGAGTTTTGTGATCGGAGCACCAGATTTTGCTAGTGCAAAAATGGCAGCATCAGTCAGATTAGGAAGATTGGATAAGTCGAGTTCACGCAGCGCTAGTTTTGAGGATCCGTCAAATAAGGTAGACATGAACTTGTCGGTTAAGTTTCTGCAACCTCTAACAGATAAAGAAACTAGAGAGCCCAAAACTCCATCTTTCAAGTAAGAAAGCCCTGTGTCGGTTATATCAGTACCATCAAGAAGTAAAACCTTCAATTCTGGTAGATGAGAGATGCCTTGTACGGATTCATCCCTGAGGTTTCTGCACCCTCTTAGGTCAAGACTCTCCAGCTTGAGATTTGACGAAAGCTTTTGAATAGCGTGGTCCGTAAGAAGATGGCACCTTCTTAGGCTAACATGACTAAGCGATAGATTAGTTGCTAAGATGTCATGGAAAACAAGATCCGTCAGTTTAAGCCCATGATATACGCTAAACTTGGAGAGGCTAGCACAAGAGTGCAGAATAGTCTTGAAACCGGCATCTGTTACCCGACAAAAACCACCAAGACAAATGCTTTCCATCCCCAAGCATTTGTCGGCAAGAAAAAGCATTCCTTGATCACTAACTCGCCGGAAGTAAGTAGGGTGAAACTCTTGGCTACGGATTAGAGAGAGGTGCTTCAGTTTACCGTTTTGATTAATCTCCTGAAGCCCGAAATCCGTTAGATCTGATACTTGTCTTGGATCCTCAAGCGGTGCATCTCTTAGGTCCAAATCTATCAAAGACTTCAGAGATTTCGATATTGCCTTAACCAAAGCATCAGTGATACAATCAACTGAGAGGCGCAACTGCTGAACATTTTGGAGCACGGTAGATGTAACCCGGTTACTATCTTGCCCCAACATTTCAGTTGATGTGAGCAGTTGAGTCATCATCCTTGACGAGATGTGTCCAAGCTCCAGATGGGTGAGTTTATCAGATACCAATCCAAAAATGCGACCATCACCAGGATGCAGATACAATGAGAGGTCAAACATTAGTGCTAAGACCTGCCAAAACAACACACATGGCATGATTCCAATACCGGGAAAAACAACACAAGAAGATATAACATCACATTCTTTTCAAACCTCTAAATTGGAGCAGCCATTAAGTAAATCCTCCAAAGCACAACGGTTAATGGTCCGACCAAATTTCTCTGCCACCGAACCCAAACAGAGAAGCCTGAAGTTCCAGGAACAATGAACAATTAGTCAGAACATCCGTGGAAAAAATTCTCATAAAACTTCAGTTAACGCGCACACACACGCGCACCTTAAATCCTTGCATTTCCTTCCAATTTCAGAGATCAGATCCCCACTGAAATCCCGACAGTTCTGGAGAGAAATCTCCTTCAGGGAAGGACGTACTAACAAGTCAATGGCTGAATTTCCAAGCCGTCCACAATCAAGCTTGAGGCTTGAAAGTTTTTGATTCGGAAACAACAATGGCCAAACAGTTTCCAGTGACAGTGAAACATTCTGAAACCCAAAAACCAACAATAGAGAGATCAAAAAACAAACTTTTCTAAATCGAAATCCAAATCTCATTAAACCCTTAAGAAATCACTAACTATCTTTACTCATACAATAAAACAAAACACAAGTGAATCAATTGAACTAAGATGAGATATCGAGAACTCACCAAGACATGGAAGTTAGGAGTGAAGGTGAGGACACGAGTAACACAGCCCTGAAGTGTTTTGCAAGTCGAGGCTAACGAGCAGAGAGACGCAACGTCTAGTTTCGTCATGATAGTCTCCAACAGAGCCGCCGGTAAAAGTTCAAGGCTTTTCTCGACATCGCAACCGTCAACATCTCCTCCGCCGCAGACGACGGTGGTAGCCATCAACGAAGTCTCTCTCTCTCTCAAATTCAAGCGTCTGAATCCGACAAAAATAAAATTTGCGGAAACAGTGGAGATCTCGTCTCACTACTTCTCTGGAGTTTTCTGTCCGATCTGATCCCAAATTGCTCCTCGGATCCACTTTACAAGGGAAATCAAAAACTATTAATACGATACAAAACGGCAGCGTTTTACCAAACAGAAGAATCCTGGAACTTTCTGCTTCCTTAAGAGTCCCCACGTGGGTATAT